CCTCCTCCCTCTTCAACTCCTTATGATGATCAAGGATAGAATTTATTGATTCTTTCACCCACTCCTCATATGAAGATGAGCTTGAATCCAAATCATCTGAAGAGTGATCCTATAAAAGAAGATCTTCCAAAAATTGCTTGAAATATTGCAACAATTGCTTATTTGCTTCTCCTATAACTCTATCAACTAACTCAACTCCTATTTATAGTTAAAATTTAAGGAAATGAACGTTGAAATTCCTCACCTTGAGGTGACGAGTTCCAACGACTATTTTTTAATCCACAATGGATATAAAATTAAATGCCTTAGTAATTGAACCTTCCATGTGAGTTTTGAGCTTAATGAGCATATCTTTTATTCTTGCTCTTTGTTTCAATTGATTGTGTCGAACTAATTGATTGCATTCTAGAACTTGTAACTCGATGTTTGTTGAGATTACACATTTTGATTATGATGATTTAATGTGATAGGGGGCATTAGGATTAAACCAATTTCTCTTCGCAAACAAAATGGGCTACTCTTTTATTTATTTTCCTCTTAGTGAACCATTTTGAGCCTCTTTTTCTTTGTTCACCACATTCTTAAACCCAAGCCGATTTTATTTTTCGCTCTTTTTGTTACCCTTTTTCAGGGAAAATGTGAGGTTATTCTGAAAAAACTGGAAAATTTGTTTGAAACAGTGCAAAATCTAACAAAACAGTCTAGGAAATTACACCGTTCGAATAGCAAAAAGATTACAGTGCAGTTTGGTTTGAACATTGCAGAAATTCAGTGCAAAAAAATTCAAATAGTGCAGTTTTGATTCGAATGAGCAGAAAACTTCAGTATAGAAAAAAAAAGAAAAATACAGTTTGGTTTGAGCAGAAAAAAATATAAACATTCGGGGGGAAAGAGAGTGAATAAAGATTTGTTGGATTTCTTGTTTCCCCTTTCTCATTTTTACTTCCCTTTGAATAATTCTTTGCAATAAATTTCTCGTTGTCTTGAATGTTTTAAAGTCCTCTTGATTATTTCATTATTTTCAGATTAAGTAGTGGAGATCATATTTAGTTACAAGCCTATGGTAATGTGTTGATTAATTTAGGCTTAAGCGATTCTTTCACCATAAACACTTGAGCGAGATGAGTGAACCAATGTGAGGAACTAAGTCTTGTAATCTTTGAGATTGATTGATGATTGAAATGCCATGTCTGATTTACACTTAATTGATTATGCCTTGCTTCATTGATCTTGAATTTCAACATTTACTTGTTTAAGTTTGCTTAGAAATCTTGGAAATTCTATGAAATAGGAGTTGGCAACTTAAGATATTTGGCATGATAATTGAGAAATGCTTGAGGACAAGTATTCAATAAGTGAGGGGGAATTTGATTAGTGCTTAAATTATGCATTATTTTGTTGATAATTAATCCTTGATTAGTTATTTTAAGTTGCTAATTTGGGCCTTATTATCATTTTCAATGCAGAACAGTAGATTCCAGAAATGTTGCTAAAACTGATGAAATTGTGCAATTTTTTATTTAATTTTAGTCATGATTGGATTAGTGAACATGACTTGGGGCATGACACGTATGAAGTGGCATCCAATCAGCATCTTCTAGAAGGTCCAGTCAATAGTTTGGTGTAATCAAAAGACTCAGCCTCCCATTCAAATTCAAATTAGGATTTATTTTTATTTTTAATTATCTTTTAGTTTGAATGTAATTTCTAGGGGTTTTGAGGACTATAAATACTCATTGGGGTAAACCTCTATTCATTATTCACAATTGACTCATTTAACTCGTGAATTCTCTTGTTTCTTTCTTTCTTTTCTTCTATAAAAGTTTTTCTTTTTCTTTCATTTTATTTTCCTTTCAAGTTTTACTTTATTTTCTTTTAAAAATTCTATGTATGATTTCTATCATACTTAGCTAAGTTTTCCATAGCCAAAGGCTAAAGCGATGACTCAATTTCTAACGTGAGAATTGAAAAATACCTCATACCCTTTGGGTTATATTTTCAGTTTTATGGAATCAAGGATTGGTAATCGACCATCCTTTTATAATTAGAAACACTTTTATTTGAAAAAAAAAAGCTCGTTGGATTAATTGTAGTTTCGATTAATAGTTGGGAGGAAGGATCAGCCTGTGACACATTTGACTTCCTGTGAACACACTTAGCGGCGGTCCGCTAAGGGAAATTGAAATCGGGTTAGATTCTCATTGAGATGGTACAATTCGAGTCAAGTTTTCCAAAACTTAAACGGAGTTGGTATTAACAAGTGATTATTGTTGTTAATCCAAATAAGGAGTGAGATCAAAAAATTGATTTTGGATGATCGGTTCGATTAAGAGAAAAATAAGTTATACGGGTTGGGCCCTGTAGACTGTAACCAATGTGAATATGAAGCTAAAATACTTCTCAATGATTAATTAAAATTGAGGCAAAGCTTAAGCATGTGGTTGATTTAATTACATTGAATTTTTATCTTTTAATTTCTTTAATTACTCTTTTTATTTTATTTAGATTAAAATCCTTTACTTTCTTTTATCGCTCATCAAACACCCTCCTTTTTACTTTATTTTTATTTGCAATTCATGCCTGATGAAGAATCAAGAGTAAATCTCATCAGCAATATCCTTATTCTCTATGGATCTACCCTTACTCTCACTACTCTACTTTATTTTTTTTCCTTTATTTGAGATTAAGGATAAATTCATTTTGACAATTAAAACGACACGTTGTGAAACCTCTACCATGGCTAGTCGAGAAAGGCAAAGTGTAACCAAAAGAGATATCGTTGGAAGAGCAAGAACCATGAGACCAAGAACCATAAGTTCAATGAATGTCCCAAGTTTTCAATCCCTTAACTTTTCGGAAAATTATTTCCGATCACTTTTACCACACTCAACAAAGAGTTACCGGCTCAAGGACACGAACGGACAAGCCATAGATAGTGCAAAATGCAATGACTCGGTCTTGCTTGAAGACAACTTCCATCAAGGTGGTCAAATCTTCTTATCCAAACTTAAGAATTGAATTATCAAGTTTAAATAGTTCAATGCACTGTTGATCTATTAAGTTTTAAAAAGTTGAATTCTTTTTATTTTCCAGATAAATTAGTAGGTTAACCATTAGTAAAGGTGTTATGCTACTGATGTCGAATCAGTTATAAAAACAAGATGAAATGATTCTCATAAAGGGAGAATGCAGAGATGGATCGAAGGAATGACTTGATATAGTCGTCTCTTCCTAAAATTTTAAAAGTTCATCCTTCTAACTTATAATCTTGCGTGCTTCTAACAATTTATGTATTTATGTGTTTATGTGGTAATGCATTAATTAAAGGTAAAACAAATGCAAACCAGTAGTTGAGTTTTCAATTTATGTGTTTATGTGGTAATGCATTAATTAAAGGTAAAACAAATGCAAACCAGCAGTTGAGTTTTCAGTTGCCGATACCAGTTAATATATGTTTTTATTTTTTCCAAGGGTAACAAACTTTTAAAGTTTCCGTACAAGGACCATTTTGTCTTACTTTCCAAACGCACTTATCTTTTTCAAAGCAACCCCAACCCGTACCCAAATCCCTATCTCCCCTGTAAACGTCGAACCAATGCGATTTGCCATTCCATGTTATTTGACAAAAAAACAAGGTACGACCGAAAATGTTTGGTTCAAATTGGAAATCATAGTGTTCATTGTAAGAAAGAACATGTACACCTAGATCGTCCTCCTTGGATTTGCAATGGATGGTCAGATTCTTCTTGTCTTCCAAATCGTTATAGATTATTACTTTCGTGTAGGGATCCCAAAAACTTCTAGCCGCAGCCAAAACCAGCGTTACAGACAGCAACCACATCCACCTGATCGTCCATGGACTCATGTTTTTCTTCTTCTTAATGCTCACCAAAAATACCATACAATCTTATAAATGAATTTTTCAAGTGAAACGGGCTGCTCTCATTCTTTCAACGCCTTGCAATTTATGTTAAATTGGAACCATTAAGATCAATTCAATTAAGTAATTAATTTTTATATTGTACGTTAAATTCGAATTTAGGTTACATTTGATTCATTGTAATTAAATAAAAGGTAGTGAATTCAGCGTTTTTCTTAAAAATGTAAGGGTTTGAATATTGATGTTTGAATCTCAATGATAGCAGGAATTGAATCAAGCTAACTCGAGGCGATTTTCCTTTATTTGTGATTCCTAAACTTTATTTCATTTCTCTTCTGATTTATTGTTTTTCTCAATTTTATTTTGAATTTATTTTTTAATTTTCTTTCTTCTCATCTAAATCACGCCTACCCCTTTTTTATTTTTTGTTTAATTATTGTTGTTGTATCTAACTCGAAATTAATTTGCGCAGAAATTTCATATTTTACCCTGTGTATCGACCCTCTTTTTATACTACATTTTATTTTTTTTGAAGATGATATTATTTTATTTTTGACAGGTAAAACAAAGTGAGAGTTAGTAGAACTCAAGACCAAACATTTCGAAAGAAGAAACAACAACACCAACAGAACAAGCAAATATCATATCTGGAATCTACATCCGAAAAGCCATCTCGGTCTCAATCCTATGAAGAATCTACTCCATGTGCCAAACCCACTGTTCCTAACGCAAATCTGACACCCGAGCCAGCACCAATGTCGAATCAGACGTCCAGAGAGTTAGCCGCAATGCCCATTGTGCAACAACCACTTTATATCGCCTTTCCCAACGGCGAGACTCCGTTTTAATTAAAGACGAGATTGATACATCTTCTTTCTACCTACAACAGTTATCCCAATGATAGTCCACATAAACATCTTGCCATATTCCATATGGTCTGTAGCAGTATGATGCCTCAGGGAGTTTCTGAGGATCAAATCAAATTACGGGCATTTTCTTTCTTCCTTAGCTGGAATGGCTAAGGAGTGATTATTTTATCTTCCACCTAATTCAATTACTACTTGGGCTGAATTATCTCGTGTTTTTCCTTGACAGATTTTTACCTGCGGCAAAAGCAAGTGAACTTAGGCAAAACATTTTGGGAATCCAACAAAGAAATGAAGAAACTCTCTATGATTACTGGGAGAGGTTTAAGAAATTATGTGCAAGTTGTCCGCAGCATGACCTTTCTGAGCAAACTATCATTCAATATCTTTATGAAGGGATGCTTCCGGTTGATAGAAAAATGGTGGACGCTGCTAGTGGTGGCACTCTCGTCAACATGACCCCAAAATCCGCGAGAACTCTAATTTCTACCATGACCCCATAAAAATCTTCCCTTGAAACGATTGTTGAGAAATTGACCTTAGGGCAAGAAAATTTTCAAACCCAAACACAAACCCGCTTTCAAGAGATTGAAAAACAAATAAGCCAATTAACTCAAACAGTTGGGCGCCTATAATCCCGAGGCCGATTGCCCTCTCAAATCGAAACAAACACGAGGGAAAACGTGAGCGCAATTACTTTACAGAGTGGTACCGTCATTTCACCTGAGCCGATGAAGGAATCTGAGAAAAGATCCGACAAGAACGAAGATGGCGCATCATCAAAGAAACAAGAAAAGAAATCTTTGCCTCCACCTATTTCAGGTAAAAACATTCATTCTTTTCTTTTTCATCTACTTACGAAACTCCACCGCCCTTTCCTGGTAGGCTTATGCGGTGTGATAGGAAAGAAGATGAGAAAGAAATTCTTGACATATTCAAGAAAGTGGAAATCAATATTCCTCTTCTTGAAGTGATTCGGAAGATTTGTTCACGAATCATAGGCAATTAATTGTGAACAAAAAGGTGAACCTTGGCGAGAACATTTCAGCTATCTTTCAAAAATGCCTCCCACCAAATATAAAGATCAAGGTATGTTCTCCATACTGTGCAAGATTGGAAACATTGGAATCAAGAGGGCTAGATGTGACTTATGCGCATCCATTAATGTGATGTTGTTATCCGTCTACAATAATATTTCAACCGAACCGTTGAAGGAAATGAGGGTCACAATCCAGCTAGTCGATCGGTTAATAATATACCCTGAAGGAGTTTTAGAAAACGTCCTAGTGAAGGTAAATGATCTTATTTTCCCTGCTGGTTTTTTACATAATCGATATAGAAAATGATCGCAGTAATACCAGATCCGAGATCGTACTTGGGAGACCTTTCTTGTCCACGGCGCACATGAAAATTGATGTCTATAGTGGCATCTTGACCTTGGAGTTCGATGGAGAAGTCGTTAAGTTTGATGTATACAAGTCCATGAAGTATTCGGATAAGGTGGCAAGCTTAAATTTCGTCGATATAATTGACCAGTTAGATGTTGAATTTTTATAAACTAATTTGTTTCGTGATGTTTATAGGGAATTGGAGGAGTTCGACGATAATGAGTTTGGCGAAATTATTTATGCTCTTTCATCTATTTATAATTTTAGCTTAACATCTTCTAGAACTAAACCTCTCCATTCGATTTTGCAGGTACCAAAAGTTGAGTCGAAACAATTGACAAAACATTTCAAGAACTCATCTTTAGGCGAAAACGATGGATTATCAGTCACTGTTTTGGACAAGCTTCCAAAAAAATCCAAAGAAATGCCTATGAGATTGTTCGAAGCTACAAGGAATAATTGAAGGAACTTACGGATCGTTGAAGTTCTCGTAGGAAACTCCTTCATTGGAGACGAAGTAAGAAATGGTGGAAGCATAAATCTTAGAAACCTATAGTCTGAATCAGCTAACGACATTAAACAAAAGCACGCTTTTGGAGGAAACCCATTTTCTTTTTTGTTTCTTTAATTTGCTTCAATTTGAAATTTTTATTCTTTATTTTTGTTAAGCATTTTATTTACCTTAATATTTATTTTTTTAGGTGTTCAAAAAAAATTTGATCGAACTTGAATGGAGTAGGAAGTAGTTTTTTTATCGAACAGTATAATTTTTGGATCCTAGAAGTGAGAGACACGTACAACAGCAGATTTTTTCCTCCACCCCTTTTTCATAACTTGTGGACCCCACACAAAATTTTAAAAAAAAAAACCTTTTCTATTTCACCCTTGTTTTTATTTCTTTTCCAAACTCACGTGCTTTAAAGAAACCCCTTTTCAAACTTCTTTCTTTCATTCTTTCAGCCGCATGACTTCACTCATTCTTTCATTATTTCTTTTATTTTTCAACACCAAACTGCTAGTCTGCTACCGCTTGTCGCCTGTTTTCTGATCGGCATTCGTTTTTCGTGCCATCACTGTTTGTGTCATTAGTCTCTGCTTCGTCTCTCATGCTCATGCAGTGCTGATTTCTGCTTTTTACTGTGCCATCACTGCTCATTCTATTTTCATCTATGCTCTTCGTCGCTTCTAACAGTCACAGTTCGATTACCAAAAGGTCGACGATTGTCTTTCATCGATTAACTGCGAACACCATCGCCCACTGCTGAATCAAAAAATTGAGGTAAATAAACGAGTTTATTTTTGTTACCCATTATTGATTTTCCCTCTTTGGCATTGTAGAAATCATTGGCGTCGATGCGCGCTCCAACGGTTTCTCCTTGAGCAATCAAACCCAATTGAACATCCCTTTTTGTCGCCGTCGCCAATAACCATGGGGAGTATTCTTTACCCTTCTTTTTGCTTTTTAATTTTTATTTCCGTATTGGGGCAATACGATTAAGTGAGGAGGTAAAGGTTGAATTAAATTCGTCTTGCTTGTCTTACTTGTCTCATGGCATGTTTGGTTGAATTAGTTGAATGTGTAATTGAAATGAGCCCTTTTCGTTGCTTGTCGTTAGCATGTTGTGATCATTGAATTAATTTCTCTTGGCCAAGACATTCGGTCTTACCATCATATTTGATGAACTTCACGGCATCAAAATAGTATTTTGTGGTAAGCTTCGAACATGTTTTAATTCAACCGCTATTGATTTATCGTCCTGGTTCATGTTTTACAGAAGATCACTATCGGATTTCCTTCGGGGCAGCCTGACCTTGCTTTCGCTTCTCACTATCATATCGGATAGTACTCTCCATCTCATGCATCGAGCTCGGGTGAATTTCCAGCATCTCTCGAACATACCATTTCGCCATTATCGCCATTGATCATTGGGAGTTTTCCTTTACCATTCTCTTTATGCTTTACTTTTGATTTATTCTGTATTGGCAAAATATGATTAAGTGAGAGGGAGTTTAAAGGTTGCATCGAATTATTTCTTCTACTTGTCTTTTATTTGCACGATTGAATCTTCTATTGGATTGGTTGGTTACTTGATTGAACTTCTTCATTTTCCGTCGTCTATTTCAAGCATGATTGTGGTCATTTGACCTCATAGAATTGTCTTAAATTTTGACATCCTTGGTAGTATAATTGTATGAGTAAGATGATAATCAATGACCTTTGTGACATTTTTTTCATCTTGTTTGTTGAATTTTTTTCCTAGCTTGGTTCATTAAAACACATGAAATAGGTTGTTTGATATGACTTAGGCATTAGGTTTTACCCCACTTGAACCACTTTTTCCCAAGTATGAAACGGATTAAAGGAAGTAAATTACATTTGTTAACTAGTTTGATCTAAGCATACTTGAGGAAAAGTATGAGAAAAGTGAGGGGGAATTTGATGAATGCTTGAGATTGACATTTTTTATTTGATAATTCCCATGCTTTAAGAATTTTTCGCTACTGAATTGGGTTGTTTTTGTTTATTTTTTGTGTAGTGATTAGCTTACTAGAATTGGTAGCGAAAGGATGTATTCAACACCTTTTTTTATTTCACTTGTCAAGGCTGGAGGTTGGGGAACGACACGGAGCTGACGTGGTAGTATCTGGAAGGCACTTGAAGATTCTGTAAGCAAGTTCACTGAGCACGCTTCTAGAGAGAAGTTTTAGGAATTTAATTTTCTTTGAATTGATTTTAAAACATTTGAACTGAAATTATCACTTAGGATTATTTAGGATTATTATTTTGAATTATCTTTGTTGTTTTTAGGAAATCACAAGCCTATAAATACCCTTGCATGGGTAAGGCTGAAACAACCTATGAATTGCTTTCTTTTTACATTTTTATTTGTCAATCGAAGTTTCTTTTTCTTTTATTACTTATTTATTTTAAAATCATTTTATTTTGCAAACTATGCTAAGCATGATCAACCATATCATGCTTAGCTAATTTCTTTTAAGTCAAGAGCTAGCACAAATCAATTCCATGCGTGGGAATTTAAAATCACTTAAATCCCTTTGGGATACATTTCTTCTTTCTGATTAGATAGTTTAGCAATCGACCTTACTACAATTTAAACATTTTTCAAATAAAAAAAGATCGTTTGTATGGATATCGTTTAATATACAGTTTGGAGGAAGGATCTGCTTGTGGCAATTCAACTTCTTGTGAACACTCTTAGTGGCGGTCCACTAAGGAAAGACAAGATCATATTCGATTCTCAACGAGACAAAATATTCGAGATCTGATTGTTTTAACGACAATAGATGTGGTTAATCCACTCAAGAATCGTCTTTCAAAGATAGACTTGGGAAGATCGGTTACATGAGAGAAGGGAAAGCTACAATGGGTTAGGCCTTGTAGACTATAATCGACATGAATCCCGAAGCAAAAATCCTTTTCAATGATCGCATGAATTGAATCAAGCTAGCTCGAGCTAATTTTCATTTATTTGTGATTCCTAAACTTTATTTCATTTCTCTTATGATTTACTTATTTTCTCAATTTTATTTTGGATTTAATTTTTTAAACTTTACTTTCTTTCTTCTCATCTAAATCACGCCTACCCCTTTTTTATTTTTTGTTTAATTACTGCTTCTGGATTTGAACTTGAAATTTATTTGCTCAAAAATTTCGTATTTTCCCTGTAAATCGACCCTCTTTCTATACTACATTTTATTTTATTTGAAGAGGATATTATTTTATTTTTGACGAGTAAAACGACGCTTATCAATAATAAATAGTAAATTCGGTGAAAATTAATTAAATAATATATTATAAAAAGAAAATATGTTTTTCTTGTAAATACCAAATATTATTTAAAGAAAAACGTATAAGCATATATCATATAATTAATAAGTATATCATATATGATACATGCACGCATAAGATACAAGAACTCCTATAATAATACCAAATATTCATATAAAATGT